TGAGTGCGGGGCGGGGGTTGCGCGCGGCGTCCGGAGCCGGAGTTGGGCTCCCGCCGCGGGCTGCTGGTGGGGGCCCACCCCGGTGTCGGGGGCGCCCCCTGGAGGATTTGGGGTGGGGGAAGGAAAGGAGAATATTGTTGAATTGGGTGATGCTGGGAATGCGGGATATGTGCTGACTGGCAGGCGTCGGCAAAATGGGTTCAGAGGGAAGTTCCGTTGTTTTTTTCCTTAAAAAGGAAATGCTCTGTAAGCAGTGTTTTAAAATCTACATCAATCTAGGCAGGGTTGTGAGCTTACCGTTGTACCACAGTAAGGAGGTTTTGGTAAGGTTGCTGGTCCCTTGCCGCTGCCAAACCTGGCGAATGATTAACCAGAGAATGGATCAGAGAAGGGCACGATAGCTTCTCCCCAAGAGTGAAATTAAAACTCCTCTTTTATGGAATAAAATCCAGGATATAAAAGTAAGGTTCAAACCGAAAGTCACAAGGAGTATCTAGGCTTTATCAAATACTCTGGAGAGGCATGGACTAAGTCCTTTCCGGCAGACGTACTGTATTCAAATGATTTATATTTCTCATTAGCACATAAAAGACCACCTAAGCAAAAATGGCATAAAATTTCTTCTTTTATTACCTTTCTTAAGAGCTGTGCCCAAATACATATATTCTGGAAAACAAATAGATTACTATAGCTTTTCCAAGTTGGTAGGAAACCACGTTTCCCGAAAGCCTGTGCAGATTCTTAATCATTTTGGGATTATCTACAATGTCCAAAATACTCTTTTACTGGTAAACACTTAACATCGTTTTGTGTTCAAGGTAATAAGAATTTTAAAAAGGGAACAACTCAGTTATTTTAAGGGCTGTATTCTATTAGAGGCAAAACAGATATGAAACATTATATAATCATAAGAAATGTAAATCTCAACTTGAGATATTTGATGATGTCCAAAGAAAACCTGTATTTGGCATGGAAAGGGCTGGTGAGTGCTTGAAACATTTGCCCCTTAGCTGCCTGTTGCCATGTGGGCATGTGGGTCCCTCATATGCAGATTGTACACAGGGCTCCCTAAGACCAGTTTGGATTTGAACTTGAGTGTTAGCAATGGGAATGAATGAAAATGTTTAACAATGATGAAATTTAGAAAAATAGAGATTTTCCAAACAGATTTAGAATCCTAAAAGTGGAAATGGGGAGATCTGAGTCTTAACTGGAAAAGTGATAAAAGGTAAAGTGGACAGAGAACCATAGGATATTCCCTGCATGAGTTCGGTATGTATTCGACGTTACTCTTATATAACAATGACCTATTTAAAGGTTGCTTTTTTAAAAAGTCATTCTGCTCTACCAAAATTTCCTGCGATTATTGGGAAAGGACAATGTAAAATCCTCTGTGGGGTATGGTGGGAGATGGTAAACAGATTAATGGCATCTGACAGTTTATCTTCAAATCAAAAATGATTAGCACTGAGAAATGGAAACACATGGCGTAATATTGCCCTGCCTGTATGAACTGTGCTGTGCTGCAGACACTGACCTAATGTATTGATTTTGGAAATCCTATATGCTTTTTCTTGCCAGAGTAGTTATTGAAATTGAGAATATTCATTGGATCAATTTCAAGACAAATATCCCAAGTCAGACTGGCTGCTGCTGAGCAAATTTTTAATGAAGGAAAACATCCACATATTGAAATAAGACTTTAAAAAGAAAGTCCTTAAAATAAATATATATTTACTGTAAATATCTAGAAAAATATATGTTTCCAGACATTGATTAATTGAGTAATCAGCATAATGGAGTTATTGACCCATATACAATTATAGTATACGTTAATTTATTCTGTGAGCAATAAATTATGCTGTTTATTGATAACTAAGATAACTCATAGTCTAGGCAAGACTAACAACTTAAAACAATGTGACCAACATTATAATAGAGGGATGTGACCTATACATGATGACAAGAAAGGAGTGACAACGGAAAGGGCATGGAAAGGGGGAGTGGAGAACTGTTCTAGAGGAGACACTTGAGTTGATTCTTGAAGGCTGAAGAGGAATTTGTGAGATGATTAAAGAAAAGAAGGACGTTCTAATCAGAAGGAATATTGTGGACAATGGCCAAAGTGTGTGGTTTTTCTGGGACCTGTGTGCAAATCAGAATAGTTATAGCAGTGTGGTAAAAGTGAAGGAGGGGAATGAATGAAGTTGGAGAGGTAGATAAGAGCACTCCTAAAGAGTATGTAATATTTTTGTAGTAACTGTCTTAGCTGGATTGTAGACTTTACAATGTTAAGGACCTATGTTGGACCCATATAGCAATGTATAGCACAGTACCTAGCATTCAGTAGGTTCTCAGTAAATAGCTGCTGAGAAATGAATGGCTGAATTAAAGAAAAACTATTTAATTAATTAATTTATGTATGTATGTATGTATTTTACAAATAAGGCAGAGGGAACTTTTTATGTATTTTAAGCAGATGAGTAAAATAGATTTACATTTTATGACAAGTGGTAATATGGAAGATGAATTAATAATGGTCATAGAGGTATCTAGAGTAGATCAGCATTTTTCAAACCTAAGATTGTGGCTGTGGTAGTTTGCCATCTGCATTAAAAAAAAACAATAGAAAAGATAATATTAGAGTGTATCACATGTACTAGCAGTAAGAAGTGTTTTGTGAAACTTTTGTTTGAGTTATATTCCTACATGTAGACTAATGTAAGTGCATTTCTTCCTATGGACATTGATCAGAGCTTGAAAGCCATTATAGTAGAGAAATGTGGGAAGGAGGGTGGGGAAGAGGGGATGGATATTAAGGAGATATTGGAGGGGCGCCTGGGTGACTCAGTGGGTTAAACCTCTGACATTTGATTTCGGCTCAGATCATGATCTCAGGGTGGTAAGATGGAGCCCCACTTCGAGCACCATGCTGGGCATAGAGCCTGCTTAAGATTCTCTCGCTCTCCCTCTGCACCCCCGCCCCCCACAGACACACCTGGGCACGTGCTCTCTCTCAAAAAAAAAAGGAATTTAAAAAGAGATTGGAGGAAAACAAATGTGAATCTTAAAATGCTGCTGTCCATAGGAACCTTTTTGCCTGAAAGGGGGGTTCACTTACCTATTTATTTTAGTATTTTTGCCCACTTGATATTTTTCATTGTATATTAATAAATTAACATTCTGGTTTATTAAGAATGGCAGTGCTTTGAGGGCTCTTACTGAATGTTGTAAATGCTAGAAATTTCTCTTGTATTCTGGTAGTACTCAACTTAAAATTGTAGGATGAGACCTCCGTGATTCTCAGGAATCATTAAAATTCATTGAAACAGTTTGATTATTGGCTAAGTTTTAAAATTTCTTTCCATAAGAAAGCAGGAAAAGATGCTTAGTTACATAAGCAGATGGGAAGTCTTTCTCCCTGCCTCCATGATTTTGCCACTCTAGTAGTCTGTTCTGCCAGTGACATGTTACAAGGGTAGAGAGTTGTTCATAAAGGATGAGTTACATTGGTTTAAAAGAAATTATGGACTTATTTTTTTTTTAAGATTTTTATTTTATATGAGAGAGAGAGAAGCAGCATGAGAGGGGGGAGGGTCAGAGGGAGAAGCAGGCTCCCCGCTGAGCCGGGAGCCCAATGCAGGACTCGATCCCAGGACTCCCAGACCATAACCCGAGCCCAAGGCAGTTGCCCAACCAAACAAGCCACCCAGGCGCCCAGAAATTATGGACTTCTTTAAAATCTGGTTGAGGTTAAATTAATCAGTTTAAGTGTGTTATGCACTTAATTATCAGGTGTGAATTATTCTCTGTGGAGTGAAAAACATTTAAAAATTGTAGAAATTTGATCTGTTCTGTCACCTTATACACTATTGGGATGGCCTACTGTTAAGGTTTGCACAGAAAAATGTAAACCAATTTCTCATTTTGGCCTAAGCAAAAAAGAAAAAAAAACAAAAACAAAATGAAGATTAACAGCTTGCCATAATCATTCCATATTTAAATGTAAAGGGTTATTTCGTATTCCCTTGGTGTGACATGATACCACGTCTCTTCATATACATCTGGATTTTTAAAATCTGTCGTTTTTCCCAAGTTCTGCCACTAGTTGTGAGGCCTTGGTCAATCAATGTAACTTTATTGAGCCTCACCTGTAAAATAGAATCCTGTGTACTGTTGTGAGGCTTAGCTGAAGAAGTGTATGCAGAAATGCCTCACACATAATAAACGGTCTGTGAAAGGTAGCAGCTGCTGTTCTGCCATTCACATGGTCCAGAAGGGTTGGGGCCACCAAGGAAGTCAGCCCCCATGGAGAGATTTGAAGGGGTAAAAACCTTGAATTATGTACATCTGGGTAGCCTTTTGGTTTTGGCAGAAGAATGGGGGAAAATGATAGCATCCTTTTCCTGGCTCTTTGTTTTCACTTAAAGGCCTTTTAAGATTTGTATTGGCATCAAAGGATAGAGAACTTCACAATTCCAAATTGTGATAAACCCTGCAATATAAACCATAAGCTTGTCAGGTTGTTGGCATGGATTTTCTGGGAAAGACTTTGATTAAATTGTTGTAAGAAATAGCTAAATGTTAGAGCAACCTGTGTACTATTTATTAGACAAGTTTTATTCATCTCATTTATTTAGGGAATATTGTTTGCATTATTATCAGTGGACATATTTTCGTCTAGTAAAGCTCTTGTTACTGGGTTTTGATTCCTTACAAACTTACCTGTTTTTCTGTTTGGGAACATTAGTTAGATGTCAAAGTTGCCTTGATTCAAAACAAGGAATTTAGAAGGTAGAATGCTTTTAGTAAAGATTCTCAGATCACACAAGTTAAGGACGTTACTCAAACTTTTCTTTCTAGTATATTAGATCAACATAAAGTAGAGAACCCACTCATGAACCTTAAAAGAATTTAACAGGTTACCATGTGCCTAACACTGTACTGGATTCTGAGGAAACTAAGAATAAGAGATTGTCTCTTCTCTGGGAGGATCATCAACTGGGCTCAGGGAGGAGAATTGGTGAGTAGAGATCTGTAAATAGATGAATTAGAAAACAAGATGAATAAAAGGCTGTGGAGCTTTGCAGATGGAACAGTTGATTGCCTGAGAAAGGTAGTGAAGATGTGTCCTAGAAGAGGTGATATTTGAACTGAGTAGGACTTTGTTAGGCAAAAAAGTGGAAGATAAGCATTCTAGACACCTAATTTTTATTAAGCATATATATTTTTTTTTAAGGATTTTATTTAGTCTTAGAGAGAGAGAGCTCGCACAAGTAGGCAGAGTGGCAGGAAGAGGGAGAGGGAGAAGCAGCAGGGAGCCTGGTGTGGGACTTGATCCCAGGACCCCGGGATCATGACCTGAGCCGAAGGCAGATGCTTAACCCACTGAGCCACACAGGCGCCCTTAGACTTTTTTTTTTTTTTAAGACTTTTTTTTAAAGCTGCCGTGCTCAAAATGATTACTAGCCCGTGTGTATCACATCATTTCAGAGTACTACTGAACTTCATATCTTAATGTGATGATTCTGATAGAATGTCTGTGCATAGAAGCATAGCTAAAATATGATTATCACTTATTTCACCTTGTACATAATTCTTTTTACTAGGTTTTTAAGTATATATGCTAATTTTATGTTTAATTTAGAAATTGACATATAAATATACATTGAATGTAATGCTGATGGTCATAGTAACTGTTTAAGGACTCATCAAGTTTGATTGTCACATTATGAAGAAATCTCAATGCAGAAGGAAGCAGGTTACAGGTTATAGATACAGTCAGAGGTAAAAAGTTAATCATGAGAAGTTATTAGACATTTCTTATTAAAAGTATACAAATTCTATGTTTTATCTTTAAAAAAGATTTTTTTGCCATAGCAACTGTATTAGTTTTCTTCTGCTACTGTAACAAATAACCACAAACTTAATGGCTTAAAACAACACAGATTTATCATTTTACAGTTCTGTAGGTCAGAAGTCTGACATGGGTTTTACTGGGCTAAAATCAAGGCATTGGTAGCCCTTTGTTCCATCCTAGAGGTTCAGCAAGGGTGGGCTGAGTCCTCATCATATAACATCATTTCGCTCTTCCACCTCCCTCTTTCTTTAAAGGACTTTGGTGTTATATTGGGTCCACCTGGATAATCCAGGATAATTGTTTTATCTTAAGGTCAGCTGATAAGCAACCTTAATTCCATCTGCAACTTTAATTCCCCTTTACCATTTAACGTAACATATTCATAGGTTCCAGGCATTAAGACATGGACGTC